ATTCCAATATTGTATTGTGTTCTTTAACATGCTCATGGGCCATATTTCACATGGGACCAATGAATTAAATGTTCCATCGAAAAGATGCAAGTATTGAAAATTGCATTTAAACTAAAATGAACCAGGGACCAAAAATATTTACAGTTCAGTGCACATAGAGAGCCTACCACATAGACAACTGAGCACACAGTACAATAAGCTGATTTCTTTATAATAAAAATATTGCATAGATTAATTTTTTTCTAAATGGAAATAGTTTAAGTGATTACTATGAACCAACTTTGCTTCATTGTAGATCAGTTGTCAAAGGACAACAGTTGGGATATACTCACACATAAAATGTACAATGGTCATAAAACTTCTAATGCCTTTAATCCTCAACATACCTGAAATACAGTTACTCAATCCACCAATGCAGAGATTCATGATGCTCTTGTATTGTAAATAGGGTACTTCAATGTGAGATAGTATCTATATACAAAGTACTTAAAATCAGGTAATAAAAGGGCAGTGTGGCACTGGGTTCTCAATTGGGATATTCCATGAAATTAAAAAGGACAGCGTTTGTCTGGAATTTTTAAAAGGGGCCAAAGTGCGGATTCAACAAAACACAGCAGAGAGTGAAAATGGACCTTCTTTAATGTCAATCAAATGTAACAAACTGAACAATTAGTACAGGACCAGGAATATGCAAATGTCTCATTAACACACATCACATGTTGTCCCACAAACTCTTTTGTGGGATTACCATAGCAACAATATCCAAGAATTGGGCTTAACAGAAAGGTCCATAGAGATATGGAAATTATGATTCAACATATGCATATTATTATTATTCAATATATGCATATTATTTCTCCACAATTTCATAATTTGACACTAAGATTCATAGGCAAATTGTGAAATATACACATAAAATGTCAAATTACACTTACTATATTTTTAAACAGTCTTGAAATAAAAAGGAAAGATCAAGTTATAACATAATTCCAAGTCCAAAGTAACTTGGCCTAATTATACATTAATGGTTGAAACCAATGTAACAGGCTTAATTAATTAATTCACGGGCCACTACAGTATTAGTAGGGTATCCTGATGGAGTCCATCACTAGGGTAATAACCCCAAATTTCGAAATCACCTCAGGACTTTGATACCAATGAATGACACAACATCCAACAGTTTACCTGTGACTCAAAGTATTGTGTCCTACTTGTCACTAGCAGCCGTTTTTATTTAATGAAAAAGTCAATAACCCAATCCAAGGCCCTTCCCCCACACAGCCAAGGATAAACAACAAAAGAACACCTCAAATCAGTGTACCTTAAACAAACTGCGGTTTAGATCAGATCTATTCTGTAAGCAACAATAATCATTTCAATGGTCGTATTTAATGTAAACTAACAAAGTCAAACAATGTCATATCATGGAGCATATCTTGTTAAGCACTTCATTTATTCTTATAGTATATTGTAGTTTTACTTGAATTGAAGACATTATTTTAGTAACACATTGTTAATGCTAGATGGCTTTTTGATAGATTTCATTGATATTGTGTGTATTCACTCACATTGTGTATAGTACATTACGTATGGGTACAATGATACTTTTGTATTTGTATATAAATATTTATATGTAATGAAAATGATCAAGAAACACAATGTTAATGTCAAATCTAATACATCAAATATAAATAACTGTAAACATTCATTTCCTCCTTCATTTATGGTCTTATACCACAATATCATTTATTTCACTAAAAGAACCATTGTTAATAAAAAGGTAACAAAAATTAAGAAAGAAAAACATTCAATCATGGTAAAGAACTGTAAATTATTACAGGTCAACGTTCATTAATTTTCAACAGTCAAAATCCTACACAGTAAGAGCATTTAGTTCACACAGTCAAGAACTGAACATGTGCTGATTGGATGAGAAAATGACAAACTGAACATGTCAACGAGATTTTACATGATCACTGTTTTGTTTTTGTACAGTACTATATTTAAAATAATAATAATAATAATAATATCGTTATCAATTACAAACTAGATGGATAAATATTGTTTTTGCCAATTTATGGATATTTAACTACCATTTATTTTTTGTAGAAAAGTTTAAATAGTGTAAACTCACCAAATACAATAAACATAACAAATCCACATCCAATCAAGGTTTACTGTCTAGTACTCACATTTGCTGTTTCCAGAAAAAAATAATGATCTCCACTCCCCTTTCAAATTCAACTGGAGTACACCGGATATTAACACCCCCGAATGTACGCAGGAAAACCCTTTAAGTAGTGATCTTCAAGATTAGAGTCTATTGTGGCACGATGAGTCACTGATATGAAGACAATGCGTACTAAACTATTGGAGACTTTCTTTGTGATAAGCATTTCATTTGTGTTCTATCGCATATAGTACTACTATAATCATATTCTATTGATATTCTCTTTATTAATTTACTAGCCACCATTATAATAAAAGAAATAGCAGTGACTATTGTTACACCAGTCTGAAACCAATAACTAATTCTGACTGGATGTATTGTACAGTATATTATTATTATTATTTGGATTTGATTAGTTTATTAAAACTTAATATTGCCATAATTTGCTGGGAAACAGTGTGGTAGTATCAGTTTTATCTGTGTTGTTTTACTTTATTTTCTCATTTTTTTTTTTTCAGATTTCTTCTGTTTACATATTTCTTCTCTACAGTCGTCTATAGTAGATACAAAAAAAGCGAAAAGCGCTCTGATCTTCATTGTGTGTATAACATCCAATCAAGATTAATAACTGGTTTCAGATTAGTGTAACAACAGCCAATGCCTAAAAAATACAATTATTTTTTGGAATGAAAATTTTCAGATGGTGGTTGAAAGAATTCGACCATAATCTCACATTCTATTGAAACTGAGAATTAATCAAATGGTTCAGAGACTAATTCTACTTGTGCACTCAACTATAAATTCACTAATTTCAATATTATTTGTACTATATTATAAAACACTGTATCATTTGTTTTACAATTTAAAAAATAATTAAAAATGTATTTTTTTTTAAATATCAATATTTAAATATTTTTTATATTTTGGATCTTATATAATTTTAACCAAAAAAGAATCAATAATAAATGATACACCTATGAATACTGGTACAGTATATTCCTAATAACTATAATTACCATACTACTACTATCTCTGATAATTAGGTACAATAGGTTAATTGAGTTAATTAACTGGAGATGGGAAAAATCAATACAGTACCACTATACAGTACATATTAAAGTTACATTCTAATTAACTTTCATTATTATTGCTTTTTAAAACTATCAAATATTAACATTTCAAAAGTGTCAATAATATTCTTTTAATTATTACTATTTTTTAATTTAAATTAACAAAAACAAAATTTATAGTATTAGTTAGTATTATGAAGTGACATCATTTAGTGGCAAAACCTTGTTCAATCAACAGATGGTTCAAAACTAATACAAATTTTATTTATATTCTGTATACGAAAGCGCTAAAAGAGCTAAGCCTGGTAGTATGAGAGCTCAGTGAATGAATGCATGTGAAGGAGGCTATGCGTGCCTAGGTATCAGGAATGCTTAAGGACAAACGTTCCACTAAAGTGAGGTATGCATCAAAGGATTGAGCATGTTAAATGAAGTGGTAGGCTGTGAAAATTCTGTCTTAAGTGAACCACAAATTTTGCATTGTATTTCATCATTAATCATCATACCTCTATAAGATATGTTGGTCATTTTTTTACCTCAAAGTTTTATAACAAAGCTGTTTTGTTATTTGTTGTTTTGTAACTAAAATATGTCTTTTTTTATACTGTATTTCATGAACCCTCTGACTGCTAATCATAATCTCAATTTTAGCCTGTTTGGATATCCTCTATTATGAAATTTTTAAATTAAAGAATTGCCTGTCACTCATATGAAGCTTCAAGAAAAGAAATCTACATTTCTTTCTCACAAATTAATATTAATAATAAAGAATTTATCAATCACATTTTAAACTGTTTTATTATATTCTTTATGACCAACAAATAGGATTTGTTGGTCTCAAAGTCACCTTCTACTACTTCTAAAGCCGATGTTGCCCCCTTACTGTATAGCAGTGCACGGTAGTACACTACTGGAGCCCAGCATCCTCTTGCCGTAGTACCTACGTGAATGTGATTGTGGTGGCGATGCCGTCTCAATATCGGGAGTGTGGATTTTCCCTTTCTTTTGTGTTTCGCGGTTTATTTTATGCCATTTTTGGCCACCGTCTCACTTCATTACTTGTTCGTTACCCAACGACTTGTTTGTTACCCATTGAGATTGGATGCAATCTTTTTTACTCCCGATAAGATCACAGAATCTGATCGCAACAAATTCATCAGTCACTGTTTGGTTAAGGTCAGTCAGTCATAGCCCTAGCCAACGGAGACCTAGGCCTAGCCTAGATCTTAGGATGTGAAGTTTTTTGTGTTGGGGTGAATGAGCTCGTTGATTGCGATACTATATAGGGAGTAATCAGTTTTGGATTACCAACAACTTCATCCTATCCGATTGCAACAGTGTGTAGGCCTAGGCCCTAGGGTTAGGCTAGGCCTAGTCAGAATATAGGGCATAAGTAAAAAAATATGCCTGTGCCCTACTACTACTAGCATAGGCAAGGACTAGCCATGCCATGCCTCACAGCCAGACCAGCCTCAATCGAACTCTTTTCTGACTAGGCCTAGACAGCAGATGAATTCGTTCGATTAGTAGAGCGGCTACAGTAGTAGGCCTAGCCTACTACTCCAGTGTCGCTACGTTATTATTAAGGTTAGGGTTAGAATTAGGGTGGAGTACAGAAGTGCATTAGCGCCAGTGCAGACCTGTACGTACCTAGGCTAGCCCCCCCACTCTACTCACTGGTGTGGTGGTGCTGCTGGATGGATGAATATTCGCAAAGCAAATAACTAACAATATATTTAGCATTCTTCACTTCTACTTACCAATTATGTGATAAATATAATCAATTGTGCAACAGTATATAGCTATAGTTTTTACATTATACTAACATAAATGGTTCACAACACCTCTCACACTAAATAAAAACGCCATTTTGATTGCAGTGGTAGCGCATTATGAACTCGAGCTCACGCCGATTGATAGAGTTCGGGTATTCGATCAATACACCCTGTCAAAGGTCACACGCAGGGACCTTCTTGTATGCTCCCAGTAGTACACTACAAGCTGAGAGAGAACCTCTCGCGGCAAATACTGTAATAAAGTACTGTACTTCTGTATAATCAACTACCTGTATTACAGAATAAAAATATAGATTTGTTAACCAGGTATAAGAAATAACTGACGTCACAAGTTCAGAGAAGAAAATGTTTCTATTGATACTCAGCAGTGCATGCCCTTCCTGCCCCACCCCTAAAAAATCTTGATCCCCTCCTTTGGATGTTCGAAGCAAAAAAATCACAACTCTTTAAAATATCACTTTTATTCATCAAAAATATACATCAAACTCATAATTCATATAAAATGAAATTAATAAAAGGAAACGAAAAACCCCAGACTTGTCGAATTAAATAGCACGCAGGGGATCCACAAGACAAGAAAATCACAAACACATTCGAACATGATCAAAAAAACAAAAAACAAAAAACAAAAACAAAAAACAAAACAAAAACAAAAACAAAACAAAAAAAACACGGGAAAAACAAACAATTAGACAGTTATAAATAAAGTAGATAAAATGATCAGCTTATTTTGTACGCTGGCACTTCCTTTACTTAATCACCGAGCTCTGCACATTTCATCTTCACCCACCGTGACATTTTACGACTTATACGCCACCGATGCCAAGGTGTCAGTCCACAATCAGTGGCGTATACGTAACACCTGTGAGCTCTCGGGGGTGGGGGAAGCCATGCAAATAGCTCCTCTTACCACTTAGCACTATGCAGAGTCTTAAAGTGGGGAACCGCCAATCCCTATTTTAAAAGGAATGGACGAAACACAGGCTCCCTTCTACAGTGTGGTGATGTGTGGTGATGGATTCGATGTTGTCCGGGTCTACGGTCCGAGCTTCTCCACCCATCACCCTCCCCCCTCCCCCCACGGCAAAAACCACAAGGCATCGGTGAGAAAAATAAATTATATGTTTATACATATTAGTAAAATATTAGTAGACTCTATAATCTATAAAATCGATTAAATGAGCGTTTGAAACCCCTAACCCCGGCCCTAACCCTAAATTGTATTTTTCGTGGTCATTTTGAGCGACGCCCAACCACCCCCACTTTGGTATCGTCGGTCACCCCGAACCAAGGGCCGGGGCCGCCGACAAGAGCCTCTGCCGGTCAGATGATACACAATCCCTGTTAAGGGGCAGTTTTTCTACATACATTCATTACTTTTCATTAAAACAAAAAAAACAAAAACAAAACAAAAAAAAACAAAAAAAAAACACCACCAAACTTGCAAAAGGTTTAGAATCAAAATACATGGAAGATCGTGACAAAAAAACAAGATGTGTATTAAATAAGTTACAAGCCAAACAAGCAACTTAGCCTCAACCATGGTAAAAGAAATGTTTGCTCTAACGCTTTTATGAATTTTACTTTTTTTTTTTTAAGTTTTTGTACTAGAGCACACTATTTCATTTCATTTCATTTATTTGTCTCAAAACATTAAAATTCACAATAAAGGAAACAGCAAAGAACAAGCACAGACAACATGAGACAGGACACCCCCAAAAGTGATTCACCGTTGAGTGGGGCCCTTCACAAGAAGCAACCAAATGCTTATTACAGTATAAACATTCAAAGTTAAAGATTTAAGAAGTTCAGTAGAAATTTAGACATAGTTTAAAAGTTTTAAAATATTAACATTTTCAGATGATCCAATAAAATTTACTTTAAAATTTAGAATGTTAAAGCGCTTAGAGGCTTTGTTAAGGCATTAAGCGCTATATAAGAACGACGTTATTATTATTTATTATTAAAGTATATTTATAAAAAAAAAAGCAATTAAGCTAGGAAACTATAACTATAGGTGGCGGCAGACAAATATTTAGTAACCTCTGACTGAGTGATTAAATATGGAGGAATTACAAACTAATTTCTCCATGAATGAAGCCTCAATGACCGAGTTTTAATGCGTCTGCATAAAGCAGAATGCCCCAGGTTTGATTCCAAGTTGGGGAAATTTGCACACACTCGAAAATTTGTTTTCCTTCCTTTTACCGAAGAGTTATCACATTGATCTCACATGTGTGCATTCCTGGGCTTTTCAAAGTAGGGGGACCATCATTATCAATTCCCCACTCCCACCCCTCCCCCAACTTTACACCAATCTTATAGTTAAAACCCCACTTTTCAAAGCGTGTGGAAAGAACAACAAAAATTATGAATGATTGTCACCATGAAGTTTGTCTTCACTTGTGCTTTGTTTCAAGTGTGGTGCGTATTTCTGAACCAATACTGAGTAAAAACGCAATTACATTTCGTAATCAGAGGTGCACAGTTTGTGACTAAAACGATTTATTCCTTTTTGTATATTATGAAGACCCGTATATACTATTGTTCAATATTATCTGCATACATAGATTCCTGGTTTTTCCTAATTTCAAAAAATTATAGTTGGCTAGTCAATTCAAACAATCATTATACAGCCTTTTTCGACCTATTAAACTAGTGATACCACAAGTTCACTCCAATGCTACTTGACGCAATCTCGCCATGACATCATAATAATGTTAAATTAAGTAAATCACATTTTGTGTTTGTGAAATAAAAATGCTAACTAATGTTTTGTGGGCTTCCTATTTCCTTAGTCATGTTTGATCGTATGACGGTAGACGGTAGTACTTCCAGGGGCTAATTCAATGGGCCCAGCCGGCCCACCCTCCCTAATTTTGTCAAAATTTAAAAGTGAATAAAAATAAAAATTATACTTAAATTTAAGTCTGACAGTGCTATTTCCGGGAAAATAGAGGTGCCATAATCATACTTTTCTTTACTCAGACCCGAAATGGTGGGGCTGAGGTGGTCAACACATTCATCATTAAAAATCCCTTCTTAACACCTCCTCTTTTTCGAATTTCTGGATCCGCCATTGTATTTTGAAAATGTAGTGTGTAAATAAATTTTAATTGCATTCCTTAAAATCAATTAGATACGTCTTATAAAAATCTTCACCTCCTGGACCCAAGCGGGGGAGGGGGCATAGGTGACACCCCCTCCACTAGCCAAGGCTTGGGCCTACGGACCGACTTCCTTATTTTGCAATTCGCACCCCCTACTTTTTACAACGGTTTGACGCCCTTGTGTATTAGTGTTGTATCCGCATATATTATAGAGTGTGAAACCAATTGCTTCCAATCAGTTTCGAACTTCCAACGAAAGCCCCAATGGCGGTTAGTCAAGGGTTCGAATCCTGGTTAGTGCAGATTCTTCTTCACCATTTGAAATATACCGTAGTTACCGTAGTATACCCCTCCTATACACCCAATTCTACATACCAGCCCAGGGTATGACTTTTACAATTAAAAAAAATAAAAAATCTTATACACAATTGGCTTCAGGGGCAGATCCAGAGATGTCCGAATGACGGGGCCGAAAATGGGGCCAATCGAGATAACACCACCCTAGGTGTTCTAGACGACTGAAATATGGCGTACTGGTCAAATTTTGTTTCAAGGGAATGAGCTTATACCAGAAGAACAATAGCTGTCTCTTATACACATCTAGATGTGTATAAGAGACAGCCANNNNTCTCAACTCTAGTGCAATAATTGTTCTCATGTTTATACAAATATCTCAAAATTCAAAATACACTCACTAACACAGCTTATAACTATTTTAATACTATTTTTCTTTAGTATCTGTGATAGGCATGCCCCAATTAACAAATATAATCCGAAGAAGCAGCATGTGGATAAGCCTAGGGTTACTAAAGCAATTAAAATAAGCATAAATGAAAAGAACAAAATGTATACAAAATGAAAAAAAAAAGACAGAAATTTTTAACAATTAGAAAGGCCAAAAAATAATTATGGTAAGGTTTTCAGTAATTGTAAAAGTGATACTGGGAAAACATGTCAAAATATAAACATGATAGTAATTGTTATTGTCGTGATGGAATAGACAATAACTGGACTTGCGTCAGGTAAATCAAGTATAGGTGAAATTTTGCCCTACCTGACGTGGAAATGTACTAAATACTCAGTACGTGTGAAAACAATTGCGATTTTCACATGTACTAAGTATCCAGTACATTTTCAATTTTCTTTTATATATAAATGATATTCCGAATTCTTCAAATTTTTTTATTCAGGTTATTCGCTGACGATTCAAATCTTTTTCATACATATGAAGACAAAACTACGAACATCAACCTTGATGAAGTATCTTACCAGTTAAATAAAGTTGTAAATTGGTGCAAAACTAATAAGATTACTATTAATTCGACCAAAACAAATTACATTATTTTTCAGGGCCGGAAAAAAAAATACTACAGACGGGGATATTGTCTTCAATAATGAACACATTGAGGAGGTATCAGAAGCTGTTTTTATTGAACTCACCATGGACAAAAACTTAACCTGGAAAAGTCATATTGAGAAAATAAGATCCATAATCAAAAAGAAAAAAATTATATTTAAGTTAAGACATATAATTCCTCAAACTGTTCTTATACTATTTTACAATTTTTTTATACAACCACATATATATGGACTAGAGGTGTGGGGTAGCACTTACCCATCGTATTTACGGCCCATCATACTACTCGAAAAATGGCAGTAAGAGCAATAGCATTCAATGATTTTGCCTCTCATTCTCTTCCTTTGTTTAACAAATTGAATTTGCTAGATGTTTTTAAGTTACACAAATTATGTACCGTATCTCTTTATTTATGTTTGATCTCTAATATGATAAATTGCCTCACGATTTAAATGAATATTTTACACTTATCACGCATACACATGAAACTAGGCAAAAATCAAAGGGAAATCTATATCAGCCGAAAGCAGCCACTACAACTGAACAATTTTCAATTACTTCTGTAGGCACCAAAATCTGGTATGAAATACCAATACACATTCGTGAAATCAAATACAAAAACACCTTCAAAACCAAATTCAAAGAATTTTTACTACAATAAAAGGTTACTTCGATTTCCATTTTCTGTATGACATGTTTTTACCTTATTATTACTATTATTATTACCATTACTATTATTGAAGCGTTTGTTGTTTGTTTTAATTTATCTATTAATTTGATTTCATTGGATGTTGAGCTCGATAAGCAGGAAGTTGCCTCTTTTCAACCTCCTTTTATCTAAAGGATGTTATATCATATTTGTTTCTTTTGTATATGTTTAAATTCTGTCTTTTG